GACCTCAATCCCTCCTAATTCTTTTTAAACAAAAACACAAACACTGTCACTCACGGCCACGCTCGTCAACCGATTTTCACCTCAACGTGCCACCAACGATCACAAACATACACAAACCCCACATATCTTAAGCTGGTCCAACCACGCTCCACCTAACCCCTCATCCCCCACTGTCATATGGTCCCGAATTTCCCACGCCATGAACTTAGTCCTTCGTAGCATTAATTCTCATCCTGTCTGCCGTTTCTCCAAACACGTCCACCAGATTCCTCATCCAACCTTCTGCAAGTCACACCACCTACCACCTCCTACCAAGACCATGTATCATCTACGTAACCCACGCAATACCAGGCCACCCAACTTGCTCTCATATCCCCCAAACCCAAAAAACCCCCCAAAACCTCTAGCCCGCACCGCCTATAAAAAGGTCTTGAAAAACAACTAAACAATAATTGTGAAAGGGGACAACCTTGACCCTTGCCTCAAAAACCCCTTACCTCCTCTGACTGGCACACCTAACTTACCAAAGAGCCTGCACATGCATAGTCGCCCCTCTGAATGAAGTCTGTGCCCAAGAATTCATTTCCTCCAAAACCCTGCAAATCTGAGCTGTGCCACAAAGCTCCTCATTCTACCCTGATCTTATGCAGTAGCCCAATCCAAAGCAAAAATCCCTCCCCCCCCCCACCCGACAACCTTTCGCCTTTCATGAAACCACGAATCATGCCCGTGACCTCAAACATGGGGACTGCCTTTATCTAACCGTATTGTCCCCTATCTATAACTTTTTGCATCACCTTTTTCAGTCTGTTCCCCAGTATCCTCGCAAACAACTTGTAAGCAAACAACTTGTAATAACCGCACATAAGTGAAATGGCCCTATAATCCAGAACTGTTGATCGATCCCCTTTTGGCACCAATAACACCACTGCCGTCCGTTGCAATTTCCCCATAACCCCGTTAGTCTTTAAGATGTTAAACAACTGTACCAAAAACTGCTCTCATACACACCCCAGATTTAGTTATGTAGAAATCACCCGGGAAGCCCATCAATGCCAGGAGAGCTTTACCTAAGCTCTCCCCAGCCAGAGCCTGACATATTTCGCACTCTGAAAAAGGGGCCCTTCCAATGAGCATCTCTGTCTAGAGCATACTAAGCCCACACTTGCATGTTAATTTACCGATTTCCCTCGTAGTGCTATATTCCTTATTGCCCAACAGCTTGTCCATGTAGGTCTTAAACCGACGCATCTATATACCCCGCTCATGCCCCCCCGCATTCACCAACATTTGGCCCTCGTGATAGCCTTCTCTCCCTGAGTGTGGCAATGTTAACCCCTCAACATTGTCCGTAGCTGCTCTCTGCTTTTGCCTCATTCCCACATCACACATCCGCAGGCCGATCCCCGATACAGAACCTCCTCCAAACCTCCCACCCACCCGAGCACCCATCAAAACGAGATCATTAAGCAAGCCCATTATACGTTCCTTAAATCCCCAATTTCATCATCAGGGTATCGTGCAACCACACCAACATAACAATCATCACGTAAGTGTCCTTTCCAAATATCCCTGGAAGCCCGTACAACATTTGAATTTAATATCCCGCTCTCTCGCCAAACAAAAAAATCCCGGGATACGTGTCCTTAGCCACCATATCCCACCTCCGAACCAAGTCACCATCCCGCAGTGCCTTCCGCCAAAAACTCCTCCCACAAAGTCGCAAATGTTTGGCTCTCTCATCCCCTTTCAACATTTTAGACATTCAATATCCAACAACTAAGACTCCTTCTAGGTAATCCCTTCCACCCTACGTTCACGAGAACCCCCACTATGATCGGAAAACATCCACGATAACGCACGCTCTTAATTCGACGGTAACGTGGTTACATACACTTTATCAAGTCGCGTACCGGTACCCACAACGTACAAAAAGTATGCTTGCAAAACCTCACCCGGCCCGCCCTCACCCCCCCCACCATGTCGCATATGCCCACCCCATCCAATAAATCCCTCCTCCAACACCACGAAAAGTGTCCACATCCCTGGTGTTCAACATCCCTACAAAAACATCCCCCTGGGGTTTCAACGATCCCAACAACCGGATCATGCAATCAATCCCCTCCAATGTCGCCACTTCAGGGAGTGACCGCAAATAGTAATTAATCCCTTCCATCCAAAGGTACTTTGTTACACGTCCATCATTACTCTGCCGGTCCGTACACGTGCACGAAGGCTTGCCTTCACCCTGCCCCCATGAACCTTCCACCCTTATTACCCTTCCCACTCCCCACCCATCGCAAAATGCCCTCCACAACAAACCGTTCCGTAGTCTCCCTGACATGATGGAAATGCCACCTTTCAACTGTGAAGAGCATTCTCGTATCATTACACATCAACCATCTATCCGCCACTACTTACGTCCAGAATTTATGACTGTATTCACAGTCCAACACATAACGTCAACATTATTACGCACAAATATGTTCTCGATCCTACACACTTACGCACAACTCCCTCAAACCATTAATATATAGTTCAGGCGACTTAATTTGTCAGTGGTGGGTTTTTCCTCCGGATACTGAATGTTTCTCAACCAAATCTTTTGTCCCACCTTTTTCCAATCCCCCCCTTTTGAAGCACTCTTGACCAACCCAGAGCTTTTAGGTCCACAGGCCATCTCATGTGGCCACATCCCGCCCAGGTTTTTATTTTCCCTGATCGCTGGACTGGCGTCAGCACTTTCCTCCGAGTCTGAAAGCGCATACAGAGCAATTTCGCGTTTACAAAAACAAACACTTTTCCACCTAGCATGTCTTCATTTACATCCACAGAAGCAGGTCCTGGTGGATTTCCACCTACCACCGTATGTTTCAGCAAAGCATCAGGGATGCCCCACAACCAGACTGCTTCTTTGTGACTAGCGTCCACCTTCGCAGCAGGTCCAGATTTAGGAGGTCCGTAGCAGAACTCATGCGCCCTCTGTAAATAATTCATCCAGCACGAGCAATGGATTCCTTTCCCTCGACGAATTTGTTTATGCACATCTTACAGAGTGGGTCTTCTACAGGTATCAACCTCCAAAAAGCGCGACACAACCGGGAGTGTGCACACGCTGTCCAAGTAGACCTCATCAACTCAATCTCTCAACCTCCTTCTCTCCAAGACAATCCTGAGGTATTCACACCGGCACACCAGGCCAGGCACATCTTGCCACTGCAGCTTCCGATCCTCAAAACGTCCGGCTTTGAGTTGCCCAAGCTTGGCACCAGTCGTGGTCGTTCCCTGACTGTACCACAACCATATGATCATTATGCCCACACAACCGCAAGTGAGTGGCGTTGCCTCTGCGTATGACACTCATTAAACCCCACCTGCCTTCTGAAGTCTATGCCAGATCAACGTAAAGAAGGGATTGAGGTGCCGTAATGTCATCTTGACAGAAACGTACTTAAACGGAAATTCCCTGCATATGGGCCGTCATACCACTCTCCCTGCAGTAGCCATGTGTATAAGGTGCCATCTTTATACCCAGTGCAATGCCTCTAATGTCAGACACATCAGCCTCAAAGGGCACATTTCTGACCTTTACCCATGTGTAATAGCGGGAGACGTCATGTAGCTTGACTGACACTGCGGGGTTAACCACTAGATTAACCTCCTGGAACTTGTCGACCACCTCCTCGTAAACATGAGCCGAGCAGAACTTCACAAAGATCCGTGACACGCCATTCATTGCCACACCACACAAGTCTTCATTGGCAATACCATAGGTATCACGAATTATCCCAGGCATTAGTAGCGCCATCGACGGTCCAAGCATGGCCCCACGGGTCAATTAATACACACAGTATTGACACGGCGCCTTGCCGCCATGTTGTGAAAATGAAAACTGCCACCAGTCAACTATAGGGGGCAGCAGTAGCACATGTCCTCTCTATTCAAAGGCTGAGAGACGAATTCGAAAGATGTGGAACGCTTCAAGATTTTGCGTGTCATCCTTGCGCAGGGGCCAGGCTAATCTTCTCTGTATCGTTCCAATTTTAGTGTATGCACTGCCGAAGCAAGTACATTATATTGTTCCATCCATGATATTGTTCCATCTATTATATTGTTCCATCCATTATATTATTCCATCCATTATATTGTTCCACCAATTATATTGTTCCATCCATGATATTGTTCCAGCCATTATATTGCTCCATTCATTATATTTTTCCATCAATTATATTGTTCCATCCATGATATTGTTCTGTCCATTATATTGTTCCATCCATTATATTGTTCCATCCATGATATCGTTCCATCCATTATATTGTTCCATTCATTATATTGTTCCATTCATTATATTGTTCCATCCATTATATTGTTCCATTCATTATATTGTTCCATTCATTATATTGTTCCATCCATTATATTGTTCCATCCATGATATTATTTCATTCACGTTATAGTGACTTTTGTTCTCCAAGGTAAAATATCATGCATGAGATATTCTAACGATATATAAGAACATGAGAACAGAGGAGCACACCAGTAGGCCTACTGGCCTATGCTCAATAGGCCCCAATAACATCAACACATTGTTACTCATGTGCTTGTTTAACATATCTGTGATCCTAACCAAAGTGTTTTCTGCTAGTTTATTACACTGGTATCAAACTAGTGCTCTCGAAATCTAAATTAATCAACCTGGGTCTTAGTTGACTGGTGTGGGTCGCATCCTGGGACAAAATTGACCTAATTTGCCCGAAATGCTCAGCATAACAAGCGGCTTTCTATATAGTAGTATGTCATTGATGTCAACTATGTTCTGTATACCTTGTATATGTACTTGTAGTAAATAAATATATTATTATTATTATTATTATTATTATTATTATTATTATTATTATTATTATTATTATTATTATTATCATTATTATGAGTCCTGACTAAGACTCTTAGGAAGAAATATTGTACGTGTCCTTTTTGAATACTGAAGATTTACTCTCTTTCAGATCTTCAATATGTCTGCGGAAGCCATGAATTTTGGTTCATACGTCCCTATGGCTGACAGGAAGATCCTAGCCATGTTTGAACTGCTGTCTCGTCGCCTCGACCAGATAGAACACGGGGTTAGTTAGTTACCAGTTGTCAGTGAGTGTTGCATGGTGAAACATGATCAGACAGAACACGGGGTGAGTGTTGCATGGTGAAGCATGACCAGAGTACGTGGTGAGTGTTGCATGGTGAAGCATGACCAGATAGAACACGGGGTGAGTGTTGCATGGTGAAGCATGACCAGATAGAACACGGGGTGAGTGTTGCATGGTGAAGCATGACCAGACAGAGTACGTGGTGAGTGTTGCATGGTGAAGCATGACCAGACAGAGTACGTGGTGAGTGTTGCATGGTGAAGCATGACCTGATAGAACACGGGGTGAGTGTTGCATGGTGAAGCATGACCAGATAGAACACGGGGTGAGTGTTGCATGGTGAAGCATGACCAGATAGAACACGGGGTGAGTGTTGCATGGTGAAGCATGACCAGACAGAGTACGTGGTGAGTGTTGCATGGTGAAGCATGACCAGACAGAGTACGTGGTGAGTGTTGCATGGTGAAGCATGACCAGACAGAGTACGTGGTGAGTGTTGCATGGTGAAGCATGACCTGATAGAACACGGGGTGAGTGTTGCATGGTGAAGCATGACCAGACAGAGTACGTGGTGAGTGTTGCATGGTGAAGCATGACCAGACAGAGTACGTGGTGAGTGTTGCATGGTGAAGCATGACCTGATAGAACACGTGGTGAGTGTTGCATGGTGAAGCATGACCAGATAGAACACGGGGTGAGTGTTGCATGGTGAAGCATGACCAGATAGAACACGGGGTGAGTGTTGCATGGTGAAGTATGACCACATAGTACACGGGGTGAGTGTTGCATGGCTAGAAGCATGCTGCTGCTGCAGCTGCTGCTGTAGGAGCAGCATGCTGCTGCTGCAGCTGCTGCTGTAGGAGCAGCATGCAGCAGATGCAGCAGGATATTTACAAGAATATGATTAGATTGATAGAGCACAATTTGTGTGTGTGTGTGTGTACTCACCTAGTTGTACTCACCTAGTTGAGGTTGCAGGGGTCGAGTCCAAGCTCCTGGCCCCGCCTCTTCACTGATCGCTACTAGGTCACTCTCCCTGAACCATGAGCTTTTTCGTACCTCTGCTTAAAGCTATGTATGGATCCTGCCTCCACTACATCGCTTCCCAAACTATTCCACTTCCTGACTACTCTGTGGCTGAAGAAATACTTCCTAACATCCCTTTGATTCATCTGTGTCTTCAGCTTCCAACTGTGTCCCCGTGTTGCTGTGTCCAGTCTCTGGAACATCCTGTCTTTGTCCACCTTGTCAATTCCTCTAAGTATTTTGTAAGTCGTTATCATGTCCCCCCTATCTCTCCTGTCCTCCAGTGTCGTCAGGTTGATTTCCCTTAACTATCCTCATAAGACATACCTCTTAACTCTGGGACTAGTCTTGTTGCAAACCTTTGCACTTTCTCTAGTTTCTTTACGTGCTTGGCTAAGTGTGGGTTCCAAACTGGTGCCGCATACTCCAATATGGGCCTAACGTACACGGTGTACAGGGTCCTGAACGATTCCTTATTAAGATGTCGGAATGCTGTTCTGAGGTTTGCCAGGCGCCCATATGCTGCAGCAGTTATTTGGTTGATGTGCACTTCAGAAGATGTGCCTGGTGTTATACTTACCCCAAGATCTTTTTCCTTGAGTGATGTTTGTAGTCTCTGGCCCCCTAGACTATACTCCGTCTGCGGTCTTCTTTGCCCTTCCCCAATGCTCATGACTTTGCACTTGGTGGGATTGAACTCCAGGAGTCAGTTGCTGGACCAGGTCTGCAGCCTGTCCAGATCCCTTTGTATTTCTGCCTGGTCTTCGATCGAATGAATTCTTCTCATCAACTTCACGTCATCTGCAAACAGTGACACTTCAGAGTTTATTCCTTCTGTCATGTCGTTCACAAATACCAGAAACAGCACTGGTCCTAGAACTGACCCCTGTGGGACCCCGCTGGTCACAGGTGCCCACTCTGACACCTCGCCACGTACCATTACTCGCTGCTGTCTTCTTGACAAGTATTCCCTGATCCATTGCAGTGCCTTCCCTGTTACCCCTGCTTGGTCCTCCAGTTTTTGTACTAATCTCTTGTGTGGTACTGTGTCAAACGCCTTCTTGCAGTCCATGAAAATGCAATCCACCCACCCCTCTCTCTCTTGTCTTACTGCTGTCACCATGTCATAGAACTCCAGTAGGTTTGTGACACAGGATTTCCCATCTCTGAAACCATGTTGGCTGCTGGTGATGAGATCATTCCTTTCTAGATGTTCCACCATTCTTCTCCTGACAATCTTTCCCATGATTTTGCATGCTATACATGTCAGTGACACTGGTCTGTAGTTTAGTGCTTCATGTCTGTCTCCTTTTCTAAAGATTGGGACCACATTTGCTGTCTTCCATGCCTCAGGCAATCTCCCTGTTTCGATAGATGTATTGAATATTGTTGTTAGGGGTACACATAGCGCCTCTGCTCCCTCTCTCAGGACCCATGGAGAGATGTTATCTGGCCCCATTGCCTTTGAGGTATCTAGCTCACTCAGAAGCCTCTTCACTTCTTCCTCGGTTGTGTGTACTGTGTCCAGCACATGGTAGTGTACCCCACCTCTCCGTCTTTCTGGAGCCCCTTCTGTCTCCTCTGTGAACACTTCTTTGAATCTCTTGTTGAGTTCCTCACATACTTCACTGTCATTTCTTGTTGTCTCTCCTCCTTCCTTCCTTAGCCTGATGACCTGGTCCTTGATGGTTGTTTTCTTCCTGATGTGGCTGTATAACAGCTTCGGGTCAGATTTGGCTTTTGCTGCTATGTCGTTTTCATACTGACGTTGGGCCTCCCTTCTTATCTGTGCATATTCGTTTCTGGCTCTACAAGTGCTCTCCTTATTCTCCTGGGTCCTTTGCCTTCTATATTTCTTCCATTCCCTAGCACACTTGGTTTTTGCCTCCTTGCATCTTTGGGTGAACCATGGGCTCATCTTGGCTTTTTCATTATTCCTGTTACCCTTGGGTACAAACCTCTCCTCAGCCTCTTTGCACATTGTTGCTACATATTCCATCATCTCATTAACTGGCTTCCCTGCCAGTTCTCTGTCCCACTGAACCTCATTCAGGAAGTTCCGCATTCCTCTGTAGTCCCCTTTCCTGTAGTTTGGTTTCATTTGTCCTGGCCTTCCTGCTTCCCCCTCCACTTGTAGCTCTACTGTGTATTCGAAGCTTAAAACCACATGATCGCTGGCCCCAAGGGGTCTTTCATATGTGATATCCTCAATATCTGCACTACTCAAGGTGAATACTAAATCCAGTCTTGCTGGTTCATCCTCTCCTCTCTCTCTTGTAGTGACCCTTACGTGTTGGTACATGAAGTTTTCCAGTACCACCTCCATCATCTTAGCCCTCCATGTATCTTGGCCCCCATGTGGCTCCAAGTTCTCCCATTCGATCTCCTTGTGGTTAAAGTCGCCCATGATCAGGAGCTTTGCCCTGCATACATGAGCTCTTCTGGCCACTGCAGCCAGTGTGTCAACCATTGCTCTATTGCTCTCGTCATACTCTTGCCTTGGCCTCCTGCTGTTCTGTGGCGGGCTATACATCACTGCAATTATCACCTTGGGACCTCCAGAGTGAAGCGTTCCCGCTATGCAATCGCTTTCTTCTCCGCTGTCTCCTCTCTCCAGCTCATCAAAATTCCATCGGTGTTTGATCAGCAATGCCACTCCTCCACCCCCCCTGTTCCTTCTGTCTTTCCTCAGGATCTGGTATCCCGTTGGAAAGATGGCATCTACTATCATACCTGTAAGGTTGGTTTCTGTGATCGCTATGATGTCTGGTGATGCCTCTTTGACTCTTTCATGGCACTCCTCCCACTTGTTTATTCCATCAGCGTTTGTGTACCATACCTTCAGTTTCCTTTCCAACACTGTGGTTTGGGGGGCCTGTGGGGGTGGGAGACCTGGTAGCATACTGTGGGATTCTATGGTTGGGGGTTGGGTGGAAGCTGTGGGTATGGATTGTATTGTGTGTTTGGATGGTGTGATAGATTGTGGGGTTCTGAGGATAGTTGTGTATGTGCTTGCCCTTGCTGCTCTGTTCTGCTCTGACTGACCTCTGCTGGTTCCATCCTTGTCTCCTTTCTTAGCTCCTTTCGCTTTTTTGTCCTCTCCCTCAGCTGCTGTCTCTCTGTTTGTGTTCTGTCTCTGTCTAGGAACACCTTCTTGTACTCTTCCGAGCTTTTCAACCGTGGTTTCTCTTGGAGGATCCTGTTCCGCACTGTTTCTGTCCTGAGAATCAGCTTGATCGGTCAGTTTCTCCCCTTCAAGTACCCCCCTATTCTCTGAAAATTTACAATCTCGTCCATGTCTTCTCCCCCTATTTCCGTGATGATTTTCTCAATCTCCTTTCTTTCTTCCTGCCGTCTTTCAGTGTGTGTCCTTTCCTCTCTCTCCCGAAGCCCATGGATAAACACTGATTTTGCCCTTTCTTCCTCCCATTGCCTCTCCCTCTGTGACTCTGGTTCCTGTCTGTATGTGGTCATTTTCTCCCTTGACTTTTCCAGTGGCTCTTGGTAGCATGGTTGTGCCTCAGCATTCGACCTATCTCCCTCTCCCTCTGCACCCATCTGCTCTTCCCTTCCACTCCCTGGCCCTTCTTTGCAGGCTGATATGACCTTAGCATAATTCATATCTCCTTCCTTCCTGTTCAGCCTCTCAGCTTCGTATGGTGTGTCATCTCAAATTCTAGGACCTTTACCCTGGCTACTGCAGTTTCGACTTGTGCCTCCCAATTCTTCGTTTCCTTCTCCAACCTCTTTTCCCATTTCACAGAGATCTCTTTCTCCATTTCTTCAGAAAGCTCTCCTAATGTTCTCTCCCATTCTTGCTCTATCCTTTTCCACTGCTCCTCCATCCATTCCTCCCTTCCAATACCATTGTCATCTGATCCCTGATTCCTGCGAGTCCCAACCATTTTTTTTTTTAGCGAAAGAGAGAGAGAAAGAGAAAAAGAAAAAGGGGGAGAGAGTGAGAGAGAGGGAGAAAGAGAGAGAAGGGGAGGGTAGAAGGAGAGAGGGGAAAAGAAGGGAAAAGGGGGGAGAAAGTGAGAGAGAGGGAAAAGGTAAGAGAGAGAGAGGGGGGAGTGACAAAGGAAGAGAGAGAGAGAGAGAGAGAGAGAGAGAGAGAGAGAGAGAGAGAGAGAGAAAAGAAGAGGAAGAGAGAGAGAGGAAGAGAGAAAGAGAGGAAGAGAGGAAGAGAGAGAGGGAGAGGGAGAGAGAGAGGAAGAGAGAGAGGAAGAGAGAAAGAGTGAGAGGAAGAGAGAGAGGAAGAGAGAGAGGAAGAGAGAGGATGAGAGAGAGAGAGAGAGAGAGAGAGAGAGAGAGAGAGAGAGAGAGAGAGAGAGAGAGAGAGAGGAGAGAGAGAGAGAGAGAGAGAGGAAGAGAGGAGGAGAGGAGAGGGAGACGGGGGGGGGGGAGGAAGGGTTAGAGGGTCACTTCACAGGAAGGTGTGAAATCCTGTATGTGTGTGTGTCTGTATGTGTGTGTGTGTGTGTGTGTGTGTGTGTGTGTGTGTGTGTGTGTGTGTGTGTGCATGTGTGTGCATATGTGTGTGTGTGTGCATGTGTGTGTGTGTGTGTGTGTGTGTGTGTGTGTGTGTGTGTGTGCTACAGCTATTCAAGTGCCTAACAGCAGAGCCTGTTCTCACCTAGTGTGTGTGCATATGTTTATGTAAACAGTCCTTATTTCCCACGTATGTACTACATATGTATTGCACATGTACCCGATCTCTTGGTTCCCACTGTAGTCTTATGCGTTTAAAATTACGTTAAAAAATAAATACACTAGGCTTCGCCTGTATGCCGCTACCTCTAAATTCTATTAAATTCCAGTAAATGCTGCTTATTCTAATTCTGATAGCTCGAGGAGAGTGACCCCCAATTCCAGCTAGAGACAGGTACTATTGACCCCATGCAACTCAAACTAGGTGAATATTACTTGCGGCTGGCAGTGAAGTAACGTTGCAGGTCTGTCCTGTCCCAGAAGTTGAAGATGTTTGATGCTTCTCGGTAATTTTTCCACTAACTTCCTGTATGCACTCTAGTCTCTAGCTCTTCTAATTTTTTCACTCACTGTATTTACTGACACATCTATATATATATATATATCTTATCTCCCTGGTCTTGAGTCGCACTTATTCTTCAAATACCCCACTGCGTTATTATGGCAACACTATTTAGGCCTGACACAACCGTTCACCCTCCAAACGGCCACCACTAAACACTTAGTCACTATTTCCTTTGTTTTCTTTTCTGTGATCACTTATATTTCCTTTTTTCGGGGCTTAAGTGATTATATTCACTCTTATGCGTGCACACGCCTATATCCCACACTCTATTCCTTATGGCACAGTCAGAAATTACCACCAAAACATGAGCTCAAACCGCGTGACTCCTCCACGAGTGTGTGTGTGTGTGTGTGTGTGTGCGTGTGTGTGTGTGTGTGTGTGTGTGTGTGTGTGTGTGTGTGTGTGTGTGTGTGTGTGTGTGTGTGTGTGCAAGACACACTGAAAGGTTGGTGTGTGTCGTGTACTGTGAGGGTAAAACACTTTCTGTGTAGTTATTAAATCTGCATACATCCCCTTCACCAACAGCTATTATAACCTTAGTACCTTAGTATGGACACAGGAGTCATCCCACACTCACTAAAAACAAAAGACATAGCCCTTCTCTACAAAGGTGTAAGTAAAGCAATTGCAAAGAACTACAAACTAACATTCCATATCATAAAAATCTCTGAAAGGGTTCTAAGAAGCAAGATCGATAACCACCTAGATACCCATCAATTACACAACCCAGGGCAACACGGGTTTAGAGCACGTCACTCCTGCCTGTCCCAGCTACTTGACCCCTATGACAAGGTCCTGGATGCTTTAAAGGATAAAGAAAATGCACGTGTAGTATACACAGGCTTTGCGAAAGCCTTCGACAAGTGTGACCATGGTGTAATAGCGCACAAAATGCGTGACAAAGAAATAACAAGAAAAGTTAGTAGCTGGATCTGTAACTTCCTAACAAATAGAGCACAAAAAGTAATAGTAAACAGAGTAAAGTCTGAGGCAGCTACAGTGAAAAGCTGTGTTCCACAAGGCACAGTACTCGCCCGCATCCTGTTCCTCATCCTTATATCTGACATAGACAGATATGTAAGCCATAACTCCGTGTCTTCCTTTGCAGATGACACTCGAATTGCCATGACAGTGTCCTCCAGTGAAGGCACCGCAAGACTCAAAACGGACATCAACTAAATCTTTAAATAGGCCGCAGAAAACAATATGAAGTTCAATGAAGACAAATTTCTACTACTCAGATATGACAACCTAAGGAAATTAAAATTTTATTAGAGTATAAAGCAAATTCTAAACACACAATAGAGCGAAAAACTAATGTAAAAGATCTGGGAGTAATAATATCAGGGGATCTCACCTTTAAAGACATCAACAATGTATCTATCTTATCTGTTAGAAAAATGACAGGATGGATAATGAGAACCTTCAAAACTACTGATGCAAAGCCCATAATGATTCTCTTCAAACTGCTTGTGCTATCTAGGCTGGAATACTGCTGCACACTAACTACCCCTTCAAGGCTGGTGAAATTGCTGACCTGGAGAATGTACTGAGAACTTTCACAGCACACGTAAGTATGATAAAGCACCTAAATTACTGCGAACGGCTGAAATCCCTTGATTTGTATTCCCTGGAACGCAGGCAAGAAAGATACATGATAATATACACTTGGAAAATTCTAGAAGATTAGTACCAAACTTGCACACGAAAATCACTCCATATGATAGCAAAAGACTCGGCAGGAGATGCAACATTCCCCCAATGAAAAGCAGGGGCTGGGGGGCGGCATGAGTACATTAAGAGACAAAATAAGTGTCAAGGGCCCAAGACTGTCCAACTGCCTCCCAGCATACATAAGGGGGATTACCAGTAGACCCCTGACTGTCTTCAAGAAGGCACTGGACAGGTACCTAAAGTAAGTACCTAACCAGCCGGGATGTCGTTCGTATGTCAGTTCACGTGCGGCCAGCAGTAACAGCCTGGTTGATCAGACCTTGATCTACCACGTGGCCTGGTCACAGACCGAGCCGCGGGGGCGTTGACCCCCGAAACCCTCTCCAGGTAAACCCTGGTATTAGTCAATTTGTAGGTTGCATCCTGGGGGGGGGCATCAAAATGAAAATAACAAAAAATTTATTTCCCAACAAAACTTACAATGTGTGATTTACATATCATAAGATGTTAATAACAAGGAAAGTCACTAGCATGTCTAGGTATTTCAGACATGAGTGGTAATATACTTTTAATACAGCTGGGTTTTTAAATGAAGTGAAGTCGGATAATAGTTCTTAGTCCGTCAATTCCACTGTGTAATATAATAGAATATTCAACAACAATTTAATAAATAATATCACTTCTCTTATTACAGGTTCAGGGAGTTGCTAATTCTCTGAGAGATCTGGCTGATGGATTGCAAGAAATGGTTCGCTGGGAGATTGCTCTCAACACTATGGAAGAATATGCTCGGCCTATCAACACACTGTACAAGCGCTTCTTGCTCTACCAGAGCCTCAAGGACAGAGTGAGTCTACTTCTGTGTGTTCCAGTAGTCAGAAAAATTACTGAAACTTTACGAGGGAAACATGATGAAGTCGGTGTCAGTAATTTATAAACTCTGCTGCAACTTACAGATCGTTAACGCACTGGCCTCTGAGTTTTAGGTCTCACTGGCCATGGGTTCAAGTCCCAACCGTTCCGGGATTTGTTTGCGTTATTACGAGTTACAGTCACGTACTGAAGTGTGAGTAAAGATAAATCTCAAGCTTCAAGTTTTCACCACATGTAATTCTACTCTGTAAGTGAAAAACCAAAGACATAACAAAATCAAAATCAAAATCAAAATAAAAAACTCCATTTCTTTGCTAAGGTTACAATGTGTGTTTACATTGCATAATCTGACTGGAACAAACAAAGCCACTATCATGCCGAGGCATTTCAGGCAGGATTAACCTAATATTTAAAGACTACTTAAGTCTAGACAGGTGATGAGTGGTAGATTACAAATATTCAATATTTTATTCTATTATTAATATAATGTGGTATAATTTATGATACAAACATACATTTTTATGTTTGTAATTAAGTTTGCTTATTATTGTCCAGGAGCCAATAAAACATGGGGGTAGATATATACCGGGTCCAGAAGTGCTTGGGTGTGCAGAATTCCGTGTGGTGGTTGTCACTACGTGAACATCGACTAGACAGCCCAAAGTCTATCAGTTCGTTTGCAGGAACACAGACATCGTCTTGCAGCATAACACCAATCCTACACACAACATTGTAGGAACACAGACATCGTCTTGCAGTATAACACCAAGACTCCTACACACAACATTGCAGGAACACAGACCTCGTCTTGCAGTATAACACCAATACTCCTACACACAACATTGTAGGAACACAGACATCTTCTTGCAGCATAACACCAATACTCCTACACACAACATTGTAGGAACACAGACATCTTCTTGCAGCATAACACCAATACTCCTACACACAACATTGTAGGAACACAGACATCTTCTTGCAGCATAACACCAATACTCCTACACACCACATTGTAAGAACACAGACATCGTCTTACAGCATAACACCAATACTCCTACACACAACATTGCAGGAACACAGACATCGTCTTGCAGTATAACACCAAATCTCCTACACACGTCACAACTCATATTCACATCTGGTGGCGTGGAACAAAGCTGAACTAGTGTATATGAAACAAAAAAAAATTGATAAGAGGATGCCTAGAATTGGCATTTATTAAACTAACCAACACTATCAATGAAAACAAAGAGACATACTTTATTCACTCCATAGCGCTCATCGTTTTAATCCAGGAATGGGCGAGTAGGCCTCCTGCAGTGCTCCGTCCCCTTCTCGGTAACCTTATTCACACTTGAGAATGTAAAGTAACTCAGTGTGGACAATGTAAGTCATGATCACAGGTAATGCTGTTGTCCCCTGAAAACTTCTCTTATCTTACCTTGTGCACAACACCAGGATGGCATTTCTCTTACCAGTCAGGCCCTAAAATCATATATAGTCCACATTATTTTATAATTTACCATTACTAGTATTAATATTTAATATTGTAGTTATTAATTTAATATTACTTCTAGCTTTTTGTGAGCGTGGTGATGTAGTGGGCATCGAAGGAGTGACAGTTCGGTAACCTACTGTGACTAAGTTCCACTTACCTCGCCCAAATTACTTGCACATAGTTGCAGGTAATTTGTCACAAGTACCATAATTAACATGATTTATCTTGTTTTGAAAGCTTTCATTATCTACCCTGGCATTTTTCCTTCCTTTGCTTCAAATACGTTGTTATGTTCTGCAAATACCAATTTCATCTGACATTTTTAGGGAAATGCTACAAGCTAAGTCAAAGAGTAAATAATGGACTGTAATGGGACTTAACTTGAAAGACAACATTCGCCTACACAGCCGTCCCTGTAGGCGATGTCTTGAGAAGCTGTCATATGCACTCCCTAAGGGCTGTGTGAAAAAAAAAAGTTATATAAGTATAATTACCCCTAGGGGGTGTTATATCAGTATTTTCATAACTGAATAGTGACTGGATTCACTGGATCCTATACTCCGTGTGTTGGGCTAAAAAGCCCTCATATAACCGAGTGTATGGTACATCTAGAAAGAAATGTACCAGCTATCTGTTGTGCAGCTGACCTAGCTAGTCTCATTACTTACTAGACTTACCTGGGTATCTGTATCGGACCCATATAATCACTCGGGTATTGGTGCCTTGATTGAAGCAGACTTGTTCTTTGAGAAATATCGCTCTACTCCGTCAGGATCACAACATTCGTTACTACACGGTTCATCTAATATTGTTTATTATTCACAATCTTACCACTAAAGAAGCTGATCACACTTTTCTGTAAGTGTTTTTATGTGTTCTTTGAGATACTTTTATGCACAAAAACGCACGGATCAGTGTTCTTTGTTCGTTATCCCGGCATCAATGTGTCCCTTGACAGGATTAAAAGTCATCTAAGCTAAGGCGCCCCTCGTGCCCTTTGCTTGCCCCCAGCACATAAGGGAAACGCTGACATAGCATATTTCCCATGCTTGCCAAATTTCCACTATGAAGCAATGCAGAATGCTTGATTCTAGCTGTCTGGGCATAGACGGCAATGTACATCTTTAATATAGTAATAAAGTGGGTGCAGGATTTTCCTTAATTTTCCTGCTAAGGTAAGAGATTGATTGTCTCTCATTAACCGCATTACTCACAACACTGGTCTCTTACAAGGAGCCGCATGACTCATAACTAGTACACGCTGGTTAAACATCTGCTTGTAATTACTTGGGAAGTAAACAAGATGCTTGCCCCTTGTGATAGGGCTGGGGCCCTCAGGGCTGAAAAGGGCTGAAAAGAGCTGAAGGGGGTTGATATCCCCCTCCTGGAGAAAATTTCTCAACAGACATTGCTATTCTTACGTTATTTTACCTGTTTCTTATGATGTATGAGATTGTTTGCCGGCGTTCTGTCTACTCTGCTCGTCGTGAGTTCTTCATTTTTCCAATATGCAAGCCACTGAAATTTATGACAGGGAGCAACATGTTGTTCTGAGGTGTCTCTTGAGAGACTGTTGATATCCATTTGTAATGTTTCTGTACTTTCCACTGTGCTACTTTCATAGTTATCGTCTGCAAAGGATGATTAGAAGCTGAGACTTGAGTTTTCATCTGTCTGCTGCGAAGATGAGAAACAACAAAGATTCTAAGACTACTTTGGATTCCTAAACCTTTTACTTTACTGAGACTGGATTTGTTTTGTTTCCTACCATTCCTTCTATTCTGGACTGTAAGCTCAGAAATACTAATCGTTGTGCTCCGGGTTTTCTCGTGTTTTCACGGTCGCTCTTAAGTGCTAGAACTTTAATTTGTGCCATCAATCCTATACGATACATCCCTCTAGCGCCTGGAACCAATCTCGGGCGGAAAACATTATATACTGAGTCAAAAAAGGAGAATTAGTGTGCACTACCTAACAGAGTTTACTGCCAGAGGGGAATCATAGGCCTGTGTCCCGTGTGAAAAATAATAATAATAGAACTTTTCTTTGTCAGAGGAAAGAAAGTCTCCCTGATAACATTGTGTGTACATAGTGTTATAGTGTATACTACAGTGGCTCCCTAGTATATTGATGATAAAGGCTAAAGTGTCATTTGAAAACAGGTGAATTTGTAAATGAAGTGATAAGCCTATAGAGGCAGGTGCCAGAAGTCGCCAGAAACTTACCACAGGTCAGCTGTTTTTAATAAATCTTCCTGGCCTGCTAGTGTACTCGCATATAATCTAGTGATACCAGTGAATAGCAGAATACAGTGTTGTAGTAGCAACTAATCAGTATTATAATGGTACTTAGTGGAGTGGAGTGACTTTCATTAGTTTCTTTTTTCTTGAAATACCAGACGTATACTGTGAATTTCATATAACCTGTAGTTACCAGCGGTCGCAATATACACAACGAGAAGCAATTATTACTACAGAAAAAGCGTTCTTTCTCCAAAATTTCCACCAGTCAACTATAGTGATAATATAGCATTTATTGTGGTGGAGACGAAAAAAAACTAGAAAAGCTAGATACAGCGATTGATAAACAAGGGATGAGGCTCGACCGTTCGTCATTGTAGGAGCTGCCAGCAATCACCGGTTCTTCAACACGCAAGTTATACTTTTGTATCAATCAAATCACATATTACTCGGGTAGATAATTTCAAGTAGATCATTCATGTGTTAGCCCAAATCACCGACCAGTACGTTTTAAATAAGTGACCCACTGATCAGATCAGACTGGTTCCGAACCCTCGACTGGTCCGAACCCTCGACTGGTCCGAACCCTTGACTGGTCCGAACCCTTGACTGGTTTCAAACGGATTTGTTGGACAATAAAGCAGACTGTAAACGGATGGGGTTGTAGGCGCCCTTATCAAACACAAACAATAAATATAAATCAGGAACGTACATGGTAAGCTGTCCAATATACAAGTACAGTTAGAAATAGAAATACAGATAGCTAGAGCTTCATTTAAGGAGGTTATTAATAGAGTATTCAAGAGGTTGCTAGTAGAATTACAGTAAATCAACCATTCAAATCATTATAAAGCTCTGTGTAGTCCTGTGGTCAATCAAACAAACGGGCTTCCACATGGATAAATTGTCATTTTTGTGGAAATTGTGTCACACCCCTTGTGCAGATATCCAAGAACTAGCTACAAGCAGTATTAAAACAGGGAAGTGTTTTTGGGTATGCCCAAATGAGATAAATCTGTGGACTAAAATCACAAGGTATTAAAAGAGGATAACCATCAAAGCTGCTTTCATAGAAAACCTGGAAGCTTTCTACAACATATGGGAACATAAAAAGTCTGGGCTGAATGGTACTGCCCTTGATACTGGCCATGTAGTCAGAAACTGTAAGGCTGGAGGTGATGTCCTGGTAGTCAGTAAATGTGGGGCTGATAGTGCTGTCCTGGGAGACAGTAATGGTGA